AAAAAAAAATGCACTGTGCTGTCTGACTGCAGAAAACCTATTTTCGCATCTCAAGGCCAGGTCGCGACCCTGTCTTTTCTGCTTTGGGCAACAAACGGGTGACCAGTGTGACCCGCAGGTGCCATAAAAACGCACATTCACATACGTCAAATTTGCGGAAGTACGTGCTAGTGTGAGTATGCCCTTAGGAAGTACTGCAGTGGTTTAAACCACCTATAACATGGGCCTCGCTGCACTGCTCTCCAAATGTCCAGAATGAGGGCCTCACCACACCCCTCTTGAAAAACTCATTTTCAAGAGTTGCTCCATTGCCACGCAGCCTCTTGAAACTTGGGGCAGTCAAGAGCTGTCAGAGTGGAAGCCTCTTGAAGAACCTCCCTTTTCTTTGTAGAGGGTCTCTTGAAAGATTGGAAACCCCAGCCTGCCTGCAGCTCATGTGTTTCCAAGCGTCCTTGGCCAAACCCTGGGGCATCGCCACACCACTGCCCGAATGTGCAAAATGAGAATGTACTTCCTTCCCGCTAGAACATTGCCAGATGCGCCCGCCACTTTTTTGTCTTTTTCACATGTAGATTTCGCAAGTGGTGTGGCGAGCCCCCTTGAGGGACTACCGTCTTCCCCCGAACATAACGCACCCTGAAAATGAATGTATACAAGCCAAAATGATTCACGGCGCCGTACAGCCAAAATGACGGTGCGTTGTGTTCGGGGGAAGATGGTAATGATTTTCAAGAGTTGACTCGGGTCGTTACCCTGACGCCATTTAAAAGAGAAACAAAGCCGTACGACTGTCTTTTTGCATCCTTTGTCTTTTTGGACTGCCGCCGTTTCAAGAGTGCTGTGTGGCGGGGAGGGGGCGAGGAACTTTTGAAAATGCAACTCTTGAAATCGGCTAGTAATTGATCATGATCCTATTTTCAGACAAAACCGGGTAAGAGTCCCGGTATCTCAAAGTGTTTCTGTATATGTTCTCAAACATGTTTCATGTTTCAAATGGGATGCTGGGCCCGGTTCCCAGCACGTGCGGCTCCCCACGAATAGATTGGAGCATTGTTCCCCCCCCCAAAAAAAAAGAAAAAAGAAAAAATGAAATCGCCTGACAGCTCTTGAAACATTTCCCTGTTTCATTCAAGAGTGGTGTGGCGAGGCCCTGAGACTGAATCCTCCGCTAGAACATGGAAATATATATTGCCATCTTTTTTGGCTTTTGTGCATCCGGAGAGTAGAGCAGCGAGGGGCCCCATGCGTCACATCGGCCGCTGGCCGTGTTAGACGCTGAAAAGAGCGCCGCCGGCCGCCGATATCTTTCATCAACTTTTCCGGATAGGCGACAAGTTTCTTTTCAGCAAGGCTGGGGACGCGTACTGGTGGATGGTTTAAAGATAAACTGTGAGTTACCGAGGGCCTACCTCAGTGGTTTAAAGATAAACCGGAAGTTACCGAGGGCCTAGCTCAGTGGTTTAAAGATAAACTGGGAGTTACCGAGGGCCTAGCTCAGTGGTTTAAAGATAAACCGTGAGTTACCGAGGGCCTAGCTCAGTCGGTGCGAGCTGACCTGGCCCCCAAACCATGTCCTGGTGCCCCATTTTTTCATAGATCTAATCAAGCAATGCATTCAGGAAGAACTTACCATGGGGTGTGGATGCCTTCTGGATCTGGATTGCAAAACCCTAGATACCCAGCTGCTAGACTCAGCTAGAGTCTTTTCCCACTCTCTCACAAACCTCCTTCAACCCCTTTCCTCTCCCCACGTGGGGTGAATTCTGTGCTGAATTAGTGGCTAAGGGAATGCTCACACTAGAACATTTTTTTTCCACTAACTTCTGCACTTGACTGCAGTTAGACACATTCAGTCTCGATTCTGGCTGTAATTGAGGTCAGATACATTTAGGAAAGTGCTAGTGCGAGTACAGTCGGATTCCTGTTGACTACTCTGATTCGCAACTTGTAGACTACAACTGCTTTTGCTTTATTTGTTTTTAAAATTTAAAACTTTTCTATCTATAAATTTAATTTATTTATGATTTAAATGCAGAGTTTTATTTTTACACTCACTTCAGAATGCCGTTATGTCGTCCATTTTTGGCCTTTTCTTCCCTTCTCTTCCACCCCCGCTCCCTCCCAGTGTGCCCCCCATCCCCTTCCTCCAACCC